GGAGGAATTCGCGGAGGGCGCCAACAGGCCATTGGGTGCGCGTGCCCACGAGCGAAATGGGGTTGCCTTTCCAACTTAATCCCCCACTAGCTGGCCATTTAATTTTCGATGATTATGCAACGCGTGCGGCGCGCCTGTCACGCACGTTGCATAGCCGCTCGAGTGGCCAGGCGCTATACACGAATAGAACGACCTGTTCAGCTAACTAACCCTTTGGCTTTCACGCGATGCGGGTGCTTTCGCCGGGCGTGTTTGTTTTCGTGCTCCCAAACTGCTGGCGAAAACAAAGTTTTGGCCGGAATGCGGCTTTTGGTCGGAATTCGGACGGCGTGCGACGGCCTTGAGCTCTACTTTCTGCGTTTTACTCGCTGCAGGGGTGGTTAAATGCTGTTTTAATGAACCCTCAAAACAAGGGGGGAATTGTTATATCGCGATGAAATTTGTGTCGCCTTGTAACGAAAATTTAAAACAATTGTGACAATTAAGAACTTACAATTGATGTTTTCATCATGTGAAAAATTCATTACACAAATTTTTACATTTTATTAGCTCAAAATCTTTGAAACTTAAATTTTTTAATTTTAAATACAAATAAACAGTAAAATAATATTAAGAAGGACTGTAGCCAGGGCCATTTGCATTATTTTATTGAAAATATAAAAATTTAAATGATTTTAAAGTTTTAAATAATTTTTAACATTTGTTAACTCCACGAAGAGGCAATGTTTGTAAGAAAACAATAGAGCCAAAAACTCTTTCAATGTTAAGAATTTCTATTCAAAGATCTATTTATCATTGCAGGCATGGAATTTTTAATTTTAACAAAATGTTTATAACTTTTTTTATGCTAATTTTTTTCTATAATTTATTTTTCCTTTTGGGCGCATTAAAGGTTTGCGGAACATTCCATTCGTTTTCTCATTGTCAGAATAAAAATTTTGAATTCCAGCATTTATTTTGGATTCGATTGCTAGCGCAGAATATAGACATCTCCTCTACGAGTTCCAATACAGTTTTTTCTGCAGCAGGCTTAACTCGGCCTAGGCCATTGACAGAGGTCGTGCAACCCCACATTTGTTAAATTCCAACTTTTTTTCTCCTCTTGCAAAGTCCATTTCCTGGGCTGGCGGGCAACGTGCAGTTGTTGCCATTGCAGCGCCCCTGCTCTCGTTCTCATTCCCCAGCTCACTCGCTCTCATCCAATTCCACTTTGTTATTTTGTTGCCGGGCCTATTTTTCCACACTGCTATCTCTCTCGTGTGTACACTGACTTTCAAGTGTGTGCTTTTCCGCCTTGCCGGCTTTTTAAGCAAATTCCAGCGTCCCCTCCTCCGCTCTATGGGGTTAAATGTGTAAAATAAGGGCCGAGATAAAGCTATACTGAGAGAGAGAAACAGCGCCGGGTTCGAGATTTCTTGTTTATTTTTTCATCCGACGAGCGCTGCATCACTATGTACTAAACATTGAGAGGCTGCAGCTCATTTTTCTCCGGGGATCTCATTTCGGAAAAATTACCCCTGTACACGCTGCGAAGAGGATGCCGCTCATTATTAAATATTCATCGCTGTAATTATTTACACGCGCAGACGTCACGCCGATCGTAAAGTTGAGTGGCGTTTGTGTAACATGTCGGGGAGGAGAAAATGAAAAGCTGAAAGAGAGACTTTCCAGCCTTGATGGGAAAAAAAGTACAATGCTCAAGAAACAACACGATGGTTTGAGTAAAATGCCGATTTTTGTCAACATTTGCGAAACAAACATGCTTTCGGCAAATATTTCCTCAAGAGTTCGATGTTTTTGAAATATTCATCCAAATCGCCCATCGCGTTTCCACGAATGCCAAGCCTGGGGGAAGAATGGCATCTTTTCCCACTGACATCTGACTGCTCTGGAACTCCCAGAAGGATTCCGTCGACAGATGGAAAAAGAAAGAAAGAAAGTGTATCCGAGGTGTGAGGGGAGTTCGAAAGTTGGTGATTAACTGTTGGGAAGTTGCTATTATCTGGGAGCGTGTCAAAATATTGCCACAAATGGAACGTCATAAATCTCTGTTGTTGTCCAACTTGCAGTAATATGTGTAATTTGATGAGTCGCTTTCTCGTTCAGAGACGGACGGATTACTCACTTTTATGGCAAAGCTTTTAGTCTTGCGCGCACGGAGACACTCAGCCATCTCGTGGCTTTCAAGTAATCCCTCATCTAATATTTAGATAAATGGTAATCTGAGAGCTCGGATTAATTTCAAAAGTTTCTCTCGGCGGAAAGAGGCGCTGCCTGCTTTTATTGACTCGCCAAGTAAAGATTTCCCGACGCAGCATCGCCAGGTGGCTAATTAAAAATTGATCATGTGTGAGAGAGTGCGCAACCACCTCCGTGGCTGTTGCACACCAAAATGGTGTGGGAAGGTATAAAAAAGGGACACTTTGTTCGTTAAATTTTAAACACGCACAGACTGCTGCCATTTTCAAAGGCATGTATAACATTAATGATGTGTAATTTGAATAAATTTTTATTCACTGAAATGTAAAAATATTCTCATTAAAAAATATTTTTTTATGAAAACGCAGAGTTGAATTTAATATAAAAAGACTGGTGAATGTGAATATATCTTCTAGTCTGTTATCCTCCAGTTTCTTTCCCGTGTATAAGCAATTTAGTTTTTTTTTTCTTAGTTTTAATTATAGATCTGACATGTTCTAAAGATAAAACAGCATGTGAAGGAAAATAATAATTATTTTATTACTTAATGCTATTATAAACAATTTGCAATTTGAATATGTTTTAATTTTATTCTAAATGACGGCTGTAAGTTTTAGAAAAAAAATTAATTTAAAAAGTTATTTGTTTCTTAAAAGTCAAAACCCAATAATCATTGATTTAAAGCGTCTAATGAAAAAAGTTTAGCCAAGAATTTAACATGAGAAGAAAAAAAATTTAAAGAAGAAAATGCATCAAATATAAAGCAAAAAGGCTTAATTTAAGAACAAGGACAAAACATTTCATTTCTAATTTCAGTATATTATGAATCTCATAGTCATAATTCACAAAGATCCAATTTCGCACTCATGACGTTATAAAAATTAATTGTGTGATAAAAATCTACATTTTCATAGGATAAAAATATATTTAAAAAGCAATAAAAGAAATTTTTTCTATGACGTATGAAAGACTTTCTTCTCATTCGAAAACCATGTTGTGAAAAGTTGTTTCAAAACGGCAAAAATTCATATAACTACTTTTGTTACTGCCGTTCTCTGATCCGTCACGAAAAATACAACCAGAGAGAGGAAATAGAGAAACGAAGTTTCATTTCCCTTGTTAAACTTTTCACAAGGCCCGTGCCCTTTTCTGGATGTGCAGGGCTAATTTTTTTTTGTCTGCAGGGATAGCATGTGGTTTTTGTACGGGCATCAGGTGCAGGCACGAGGGTTACTGCAGTGACGTGCCTCCTGCTCCGGCCAACAACAACACACACCACATTACACAAGCGAAAGAAATAAATTAAGAGGCTTGCAAATTGGATCAGCACGCGCCGCTTCATGTTACTTTCCGAATTTAAATATTTATGCGTGGGGCGAAACCCCGCGAGTGGATTTATGTCTCAATTGTGAGAACTTTTCTTTTACTTCTTATTTCTCTCCGAAAGCAAAATGTAATTGCTGAAAGAAGGGTGATTTACGACGGCGCTAATCTCGATTTTATTATACCTCTCGGCGCGCTCGCGGCATTAATTTTCCAAAATCATAAACAAATATTTGGCACGTGCCTGCGCAAATAATAAATAATCGCACGTCTCCTTCTTTCCTTCTCTCTCGGTGTGCTGCAGCGCGGCTCATTTTGCAATTTAACGCCCTAATGAGTATTTGCTAGCTTGTCTGCGACGGCAATTGCGCTTGGACGCCGGCCAAAGTAGCTCCTTAAAACAGTTTATTCTTGATGGCAATTGAAGAAAATACGCAAACGCCATTGCCTACGTGTTTCAGCGGTGCAGGATTTGAAAAATTAAAAACGTGCAAAGCGAGGTAGAGTTTGTTGTGAAAAAAATCTCACTGCGAAACTCATTCCAGCAATTATAATTAATTTTAAAAATTCATCCTTGTTGTTTTTAGAAATTTCATTAAAAAGTAGAAGCCTTTTCTAATATTTTAAGATTGAAAAAATACAACATATTATTGGCTGAAAACATTAAACTTCAGGTATTTTCCCCAATTAAAAGTATATTTTTCTCAATTTTTAAATTTCTAGCTAGCGGAATTTTTTGCTTTTATTATTATTATTTTTTTATATGTTTTGAAATTGGTAGCCAATATTTTTTTGAAAATGAATATTGAGTTTTAAAATTCAACACATAATCATACCTTAATAATAAATCAATATCCGTCAAAAAACCAGTTTTAAGATGACATTTCAGGTTCAGTGTAGCAAACTAAATCAGACAACTAAAAATATTTAAAAAAAATTCAATCGCTGCAAGGAATTGAATAATAACAAAATTTATCATCGTTTTTTTTCTTTCTTTCAATTTTCTATAACATTTTAATAGATAATTTTAAGCGCTTCAAGGTTAAAACAGTTTTTTTATCATAACTTCAAATTGTTTTGCAGCGAAAAAGTAAGTATAATTCAAATTAAAGAAGCGTACGTGCCACGGGAAATTAATTTCCATGCATCAGAGTAAAAAAAAACCCGTATCGTAAATTCAACCCTAAAAATATATCAAAAGTTTCCCGTTCGAATTTATTGTGCGCAATTAAAACAAACGAGCAAGATAGCGGAATAAAAAAATTGAGGAGTGCTGAACTCGGGCCGACCACGCTCGTAAACACTTGGCGAAATCGCACGCACGTAAGGCCGCGCTAGAAATTTAATTAAATATAAATTTCAGGCACATTTTTGCGGCCGGTTTCGCAGACAATAATTTCCACCGCACGTTGTTTGTTCTCAGCGCAGGCAGGGAATAAAACAAAACGGGTGGAAAACAAAAGGGGGAGTGGCTTTACCTCTTTCGGCTTGGCATTAGTCCAAGAGTGATGCGATTTTCTCCATCGAGCGAGGCGAACACAGTGTCCAGTCCAGCAGACAGAGGGAAAATAAGCAGAGAAACACACTTTGCACCGCGGGAGAACTTGCACCGGCACCACTTTACAAGGGAACACTGAGGCAGCGACTGACGAGCTCCTTTGCAGCGAACCGCGCGCCAGATGCGAGCGAGGCAGGCGGACACCAGCACCAGCCTCCCCTACACTTGGCTGACACAACTACACGACACCCTCGCCAACCCAGCACAACGTTACCCCTAAAAGCGCGCAGAAAATTTGCAATAATTTTAAAAAAAACTCGGGTTTTATAAAATCAGCTCTATTACAATAATTATATTTAAAAAAATAAATTTTACAATTAATATTTACAAACAAATTAATAAATAATATTTATATTTTTCTATCATTTTATTATTTATTTAATTTATCCTTTTTTAATACTTTCAAATTTGAATACGTTTCTTGATCTTGCTCCTAAAGTGCTGCTAAAGGAGTAGTTACTGTAAAAAAATGATAGGTTAAAATATTATAAATAGCAGGAGTAAATTTCAATTAGTTTGATAGGAATTTTGTTACTATAAATAGTCGACTTGTTGTTGGGGGAGCTAGCTGATTATTGATATTTGAACATAACATTTTATAAATTATTCACTGTGAATTATAGAATACCCTTAAATTAAGCTGCGGCCATATATCAAAGGTCCAAAAGGACTCTAGTTATATGAATTATGGAGAAAATATTAAAGCACATTTTATTTTTATTAGAAAAAAAAACAACAGCCTGATGCTAAAAAATTTCTTTTAAAAGTAATGGATGATTGCGATTGCGCAAAATTGGTTCATGGACATGAAAAAAATCCGGAATACTCTGTGCACTGCAATAAAATTTTATTGATAGATTTATAATTAAAGTGCTCATCATTAAAAAAAAAAGAAAAAAGTTAATAATTAACAATGAATATATTAAGCAGATTTGATACTTTTTAGAAATTTTGAACTCGCTTGCCAGAAAAGAAGCTCTAGTTTTTGAAAGTTTGCAAATCTCGCTAAAAAATTTATTGGCTTACAGAAATCGTTCAATTTTTAACTGCAACACAATAAATTGTGCAAAAGTTAAGCTTTTCATCATGAAAAATAATGGAATAATTGGAAAATTATCGATTTTGGTTAGAATAATTGGTTTTTAAAAAATTATTTATTACAAAATTGGCTCATTCGACTCGGAATTGCATTATTCGCAAAGAACAATTGCTGGATGTTTCAAATTCTGCTTCTTATTGACAACTGATTCCTGATTCGATTATTTATCCCATATTTATGAATTCAAAAATTTACCATTTCTCAAAATTAATTAACTCCCATAAAAATCAATATCAATAACGAGGCTTAAAAGTAAATTAAAATTCAATCAATCTCCATATTATGTCAAAAAATTATTTGCTACTGAACCATGAAATGATCGATGAGCAACAAAGCGTTTGGCAAATTATCGAGCAAGATGTTAAAACACACATTTCTTCTGTAAGCAACAGGGCGAAGATCCAATTTTCCTTTGTCAGCTGATCGCCCACGTACAACGATCGTCCAAAAAATCACGGTCATTTTTTATAAATTCAGCTCGGCAGACTTTTTTATTTTTGCATGTGTGCAAATTTTCCGCGCCCAAACAGAACCGGCCTTTGTGGGTCGGCGGACAAAAAGGTCTCGAAGCGGCACGTGTGCGTAATCCCTGCAGAGGGAGAAAGAGGGAGAAAGAGAAAGAGAGAGAGAGCGGTGAAAGGGTTGAGTCTCTCGCGCCATTGCTCATCCTGCGGCGGCTTTTTGTCCTGGCCGGTCGCCGGCCTAATCAAAGCCCGCGTTCGCGCCTTTAATAACACGCGGGCTATCGTTACAAACGCCCGGACAGCCGAATAAAAACTCACTTGGTATGCGCATACATAATAACGCATCTGCGGCCAAGAGAAAGCCCATCTTTTTCGCTATCTCTCTCGCACTCCATTCCACGCTCCATTTTTTCTCAATCTCTGCAGTGACCTTTCAAAGGCGATATTTTATGTGAGCTGTAAAAAGTGTCCACCGTTGAAATGGCCCCTGGGATGGAAATTGCTGGCCGACGCGAGGATTGCTCTTTTTTGGCGCAATCAAATTTGCAAGTAATTTAAAAGCGCCCTTTTGTGCGCGCACTTGCTATTTCTACGTACAACAAGAATTGATGCCAATATGGATAATACCAGAATTGTCGGGAAAATGGTGATAATTAATCAGAATTATTTGAAATATTCACACCTCTTCAGTTATGTGTAAAAACACTTAACTATGATTTAATACTACTAAAAAAATTATATATAATTATTTTTTTATAATAAATTTCTTAAAATATTTCATTTTATAAATTTTTTAATTCAATTTTTTATGATAAAATACAATTAAAAGAGTATAAAGAAATTTAGTAATAAACAATTTTTAAAGAAATGTTTTTTTAGTTTCTTGTTTATATATAGTAGTTTTTTAGGAATTTATGAATATTACCTAACAAAATTAAAAATTGAGTGACTTTTAACTCTCATGGCATTGTCTATTATGAATTATTGTAACTAACATTTATTATTTTACATAAAAAATTATTGAAATCCCAATATTTACTAACAATAAGATGCTACTAAATATATTAAAAAATTCATGTTTTTCATAATTCCTCTTCAGGTTGACCCCTTGTGCCCAAAACTGCAGCCGGCCTCCGTCCGGCACAATTTTGCCGAGACCGTGTTCTCGTTCAGGGTGGTGGAGCCCTGGAACAACCTGCCAGCTGCCCTGAAAGACTGCCCTGTGGACCGCTTCCCAGCCCTCTGCAAAGAACACCTGTGGCAGAATTTTGACCAGTGATTTCCCTCCCCATTGAGGCTCGTTTCGGCATGAGACTTCTTTTTGATTTCGAGCGTTTTAGCAAAATGTGTGCTGGAGGCGGCGCCTTTTCTTGTCCAAAAACAATTCCTCTCCCAAAAATTGTTTTTTTCTATTTGCTTTTCGGTAACATGTATGTAAATCTTCGGACGAGAATAAACAACAATAATAATTGATCGATCATATTGTTAACTGGTAATCTAAACCTTATTAAGCTGTGTAAATTACTGTATTATTTTTTTTTTAATTTTTATAAAACAATTCTTTAAATAATTATAATTTTCCCTTTAAGCTCCCAATTAATTACAATTCACTTTATTGGAGCTTTTCTTCTCCACAATATTTAAAATCAATTATTGAAAAAACAAATATTTTAAGAACATAGGAATTGTTATTAAAGATTAATTTAATTTGCAATCAAAATTGTGTATATTTTCAGATTCTCCGAGGCTTCATCAAATTTGGTGTCGAAAGAATATTTCCAAAGATGTTCGCGACGTCGGCAGCGAGTATTATAAGTGATTGTAATCTCTTTGTTTCCTCACATTTCCCCTCTGGCAAGCGAAAAAGAATGAGAGACGCCCGCTCTCTGACTTTTATCAGGCCACAATTATTCTCAAGACCAGCGAGGAGCAAAAGAACGAGCCGCACAACAAGAAGCGGGGGTACATCAAGATCCACCTTGAAATACACTTCTTTTGCAGGCCGTCTTTTGCGAGAGTGGAATTAAAGTCGGCGGCGAAAGAAGCTTTCGAAAAGAGAAGAAACGGCGGCGTATATCTGCGAGCAAAATCAAAAGCAGGAGAGATTAAGCGCGAAAAGAGACGGCAGAGCCGAGAGAGTGATATTAAATATTAAAATACACCATTTCCCAAAATGAAATCCCTCGTCTCACTCCAAATGTATAAATCTAAGACGTCTTGTAGCATAACAACTACGATTGAAAAAAAATAAGGCATTCAATCCTGGAAAAGGAAGAGTTTTGACTTTTAAAAAGTTTTCAATAAATCTTTTTTATTCTTTGTAAAAACTTTAATTCCATTTTAAACTGATGAGAAAATTATTTTTATCCTAACCTTGACCTCTAAGCTAACCAATTTTAAAATAAGGGATAGCAATATTAAAATTCTCGTTCAAACATATTTTGTAGAAAAATGTCCATAAAAAAATTTCCAAACTGTCCATATATTTAATTAAAAAGTGAACTAATAAAATATAAATTAAAATAAAATTAAATAAGTCATGTTATAATTAATAATCACGCAAATACTATGTCTATGTCATTGGGCTTGTTAGAAAGGTAAAACTTTATCACCAGTCAAGTCATAGTGAGAAAATGAAAGTTTTTTTATTAATTGAATTGAATTGAATGAACTAATAAATATTTTCACTAAAAAAAAAGCGTTTTGGAGCTTAATACTGACAATGAGTATCAAAAAAATTAAAAAATATAATGTAAGCTAAAAATTAATTTAAAAAAATAAATTTATAAGTATAATTTTTCTCATACTCTTTGAGCCAGGAAATGTCTGTGCTTGTAACTTTTTCGGGGGGAAATATATATATTTTTTTTTTTTTTTTTTTTTTTCCGAAAGTTTAACTTAAAATCCAACAGATAAACGTGCATATTATTAGCTGTTGTTACAGAAAGGTCTTGGCCGGTCATTGCACGCGTTTGGCATTCTATTAATAAATAAATCAATACTTTCCCATTCCTAATAATGTTCTATATTATACGGAAAAATAAGAAATATAAAAGTATCCTTTGGAAAAATCTCATAAATCTATTTTTTATTGCTGATATGCTAACGCAAGTAGAGCATTGTATTTTTATTTTGGTGATTTTCGGAATGGATTAAACGAGTCGGCAATTCATCATGCCGAGAGTTATTTGCGTGAATGTCAAGTGGCATCAGAACATTGTAATAATAATGTAGTTTCGCCACGCAACAATGTTCCTGCACGGAGAGCTGCCGTGGAAACGCATCCACACATACGTACACACTGAGAAATTCTAATTTCCTGTGCCTGTGCGAAACGACCGTTGACAAAGCGACCGAATTTTTCCATGTCATTTGAAGGGCCGTGCTCCAGTGTCGATTTAGGGTCGATTGTGTTTACCGAAATGCAGTGCAATATATTCCGAGCTGATATTTGTTTGGCTTCGCATTTTATGCGACACGCATTGGGAGGGGAAATGAAGGCTATCGCTAGCCCATTTCGGATGCAGCAGTCGCGGAAAATTGATCTGCTCGCACCCCTTTCTAAATGGCCTCTTCAAGTCTAACTAAGAATGAGAGATGTGACCTACTTATATGGCAAAATCATTATAATTTACGGCCAAAAAATATAAGTCCTTATATTTTACTCCAATATTGGAAATTTTCCAACTTAATTCAAATATGAATTGCAGTTTTTTGGAACTAATATTTCCAAAATATTAATTGATATTAAGTAACATTAAACGGAAAAATTGTATAAAAATGTTTTCAAGTAAAAACTTTAGAGTGGAGGATGAGAGAACTCAAAAATTATTGTTGGTTTTCTCTCAAAAAAAAAAAAAATAAAAATAAAAAATAAAAAATAATAATAATAATAACAATAATAAAATAATAGTATTAATGATGACGAGAATTACTGGAAAGTTAATTCATAATTTTATTTTATTAGTACTTCCATATGGTTGATTTTAGTACGTTTAACTCGACACATTTGTTGTAAATTTTTTCTTCGTGGTTTGAAGTGAAATAATGCAAATAATGCATAATTATTATTTTTTTAAGCAAGCTTTAGAATTTAATTAATGTGATTTTTAAATGCTATGCCTCTTCAAATTTTCAGTGTAATTTATTAATTTTTTCAATGATCTCTAATTTAGTTCAAGAAAGTCGGGCTTTTGACCCCTTTGGAGTTTTGGTGCAGGTCAAAGTGTCGCTACCGGTCGTCCAAGTTGCGAATCCAGCATTAGTTTTCCGTGACAATCGAAACGCCCACATAGTGTATGCAAACAGAATCAAGTGAAGCGTGTCGACTCGCTCAAGGATGGAAAAAATAAACAGTAAAAAAGGCGAAATAAAATGGGGGAAGAAAAGGCGACTTTATTACGTCACCACCGCAGATTTGCTTTTTTTTCGCGGGCGCGTCGAAAGGCAGGCATAGAATATTCCGAAGTGGAAGTTCTTTTTCTCTTGTGTAGAGGAATTTTGTAATATGAAAATTCCTGTCACATCACCTGCCAAACGCACCGGCGCGGTCCCCATAGAAGAGAGGATGCGTTTGATATTGAACGGCGCCATTTTAATTTTCCAGTAGAAAAAAACGAGACGCCAAAAAAATAGCAATTTCAAAGAGGAAAAAATGAAAGGAATCTCGTGCGAAATTAAAATTGAATTGATAAAATTCAGCAGATTACGAGGAATTTGAAGTTGTTTTTCCTTACCTTGGGCTATTTCAGGACCGGAGAGAAAGCAGCGAATCTGAAACAAACGGAAAAATGTTCAGCATTTTGGCCGAGGTAAATAAAGAAGTAAATTTATCGCATCCGTATTTCTGTCCGTTAATGTAATTAATCCTCCATAATTTTGACAGTTCCGAAAACAGCAGCTAGACTTTGGGGGAAAACGAGAGGAAACTTCTCCATTCGGCGCGTCAAACTTTGTGATAAGACGCAGCACGCGGATAGAAAAATACACGAGGGAAACCTGAAACGGGCCGGCCTGTCCAACAAAAGTTTCGTGTCGTGGCTCAATTTGCCTCGTGAAAATATTAACGACGGACGAAATAAAGAATGAAGTCAGGAAATATATACACAGAGATAAATAATAAAAAAAAGCTGGTTATAAATAAAATTGGGAAATGATTTGGATACACGGAAATGGATTCGAATTGGAGAGGAAATAAAATTATAAGGTTTTTGGTCAGAGAGAGATCAATTTTTTTTTCATTTCAATTAAAGAGCGGGGAAGAGAGAACGGGGTGAAGTAATAATAATCCGAAATGTGGAATCAAGGCCGAGCCGTGAATCGATATAGCGTTTCATGCGCCGGGGGCGAGTAGTTGCGTGGCTGAGAAATTGGAATCACGATCGCTCACGCGGAGAAATGGAAAAAGCAGCGAAATTGCCAAGAAGTAGAGACAGAAACAATAGCCAACAAAAATATTTATATTAAATAGGTCAGCTTCTGTGTTATTCTCATTAATAATTTCGCTCGCGCAGATGGGAGTTGGTTTTATTTTTTGGCGAATAAGCACGTGCTGGCCGAAACGTAATGAGAAAACGTGGAATTTAAACACTGCGTGAAATTGAAAATTTATTAAAGAAAATAGCGCGGCGGAGATGAGAATTTGCGAGCTGGAAACGGGCCAAAAGAGCGCCCGCGATATTTCACGCGAGGGCAATTTATTTTCCGCGCGTGCATGTGTATCAAAATTTGCATTTAGAATCACTTTTTTCGCGGCAATAACCGCCAAGCTCTCGTGCACTGTTTTATTTTTCCCTATGCCGGTCGAAAACGGGATTATAAAAGTGCGGAAATGGCGCGAATGACGAGTATAAACACCACGGCTCTGCACGGAAGAAACGCCGCGTGCTATAAAATTTGCTCATTTTTTCTCACGCCCTTTAGACGTATATAAAACTGAGGAGGTGCGATTGAGCGAGGAGGGGATTATGAGGTGCCAGCCAGGAACTCGATACACATTTGCAGTTTGGCGCAATGGCACTGCTAGATCGGCACGTTTATGAACAAGAAGACGGCAAAGCTGGCGTGCGGAGATAATGTTTACGACTGGGATTGCGAGAGTAAAAGTGACGTGTGCGAGAAAAGTGAGAGCAATTTACGCAAAAGTGAGAACCGTGTTAAATACAGTCAGGGAAAAAATTAAAGATTTGAGCTGAAAAAAAATGAATACTTTATTATTATAATTTAAATAAACATATTTTAATGGCAATAAAAACAATTTTGCATACTATGATTTTATTTAAATTATTTTTCTTTTATTATTGAAATTATATTTATTTTGATATATTTTACAAATTTTAAAAACCAATCGCTTATTACAATTTTAAAATAATAGGGAGTAAAGAAATAATTCATTTTTATCATTAAAATATTTTATTTAAAAAGTGCAACCAAACTTTACTCCATCTGAAATCTGAATGATGAAAATTTAAATCCATTATGTAAACTTTTGTTTTCCTTTTTTAATTGAAATGCGAATTACAAAAAATAAAATATTTCATAGAATACATTCGAAGCTGAAACAAAGGACGAATATGCAAAAATACTTAAATATGTTGCTTAAAATTCAATCGGAATAAAAAAATAAAGATGAAAGGTTCAAAATTTTGGTAGAGATGGAGGAGTTGTAGATACGAAATTTTCATGTAAAAATTGTGAAGAAATCGGTGCAATTATTAGATTAAAAAAAAGGTTAGTGGAATTTCTTTGGGAAAGTTAAAAATGTCCTCTAGTCCCGTTTTATCACATACCTGAAAGTTTATTTATTACTTAAAAATTAAATATGATTTTCTGGTAATTTTTACACATGAGATTGAATGGTGGAGTCATTTCTCTCTTCCAACACACGGGACAAATATTTTAATAAAACTAAATTGTAGTTATATCATTTTTGTCTCGGGAGTTCTAGCAAAATTTTTCTAGTGGTAGTGCCGTTCTGTCCAAAAATTCCATTTTTATCAAACAAACTAAGGTTTTTAACATTTCTATGTAAACAATGTGATGTAAAAATTGAAACAAATAAAAAACAATAATACATATATGTCTTATTACCGTTTCATGATTTTAATTACCCTATTAATTTGCACTTTTTGTCCCAAAAGTTCTTTGAACGAGATCAAAATATTTAATTTTAATACTGAAAATGAGCGAGAATTTTTTGAATATAACATTCACATTACTACAAAAGTGCCGTGAAACTTTACGCTCAAAACTCAGTTTTCCGTGTTAATAAAAAAAAAAAACAGCTGCTCATTTCAAAATGTATTTGATTCATAAAACGGGGTCTGCGTTTGATGTATCCGCTTTCAAAGGCTCCTGCCGACAGGTGCAAATTTTCCGCTCCCAGGGCTTGTTTGTGCGCAGAGCAGTTGCATGAAATTCTAGCCCGGCTGAAAATTACGCCCGGCGGGTTGCTGCGAATAGGCGCCGACGTGCCGTATCAAGCTGACAGTATGTCTAGCATTATGTACTGCGTAGAAGTCGGTGCGGAGTAGCAATTAAACCGCCGCGCACACACACACAACATGCGTTTTATCTTGGCTCGTGTCTACGTGGATCACCTCAAGGATGTGCGAAGCAGCGAGTCGGCTCGAATCTCAAACTTGAGGCAAAGACAGATGCAGAGCAGCAGGCTAATCTAATATTTCAATTGTCAGCACAAGAGAAACCGCGACGGCTTCTCTCCGAATGTTGAGAGGGCGTTCTTCAAACTGCACAAGTGACTATTCAACTATTCTGCATTTACGAGACTTCCCGTAATTGGAATGATTTGCACCGCAGTGCAATAACAGAATACGTAAGAGTGTTTTCAAAGCATGTATAGAAATGTATTTGAAAAGTTGGAGCTTTATTTTGTAGTTGAGGTGAAGAAGTCTTAATTTTATGTTCCAATTTCATTTTAATTTGTCCCTGCTAGCTGCAAATAAATAAAGTGTTTCATGATTAATAATTTTTTACTTTTTCTTAAATAATTGAAATGCAAAGAAAATAAATATTGATCTGCTTAAGAAATTTCAAAACTTAAAAAATGAAGATAATAATTGAAAAAAAAAATGTTAAATACAGAAAAGAGTAATTTATTTATTCGCAAATTAATTGAAATGAAATTTAACAGATGAAATCCAGAACCAGATGAAAACAACCAATATCCCAAATTTAAATTAACTTCAAATTCTGTTCATTTAGATAAATGAATCAATTTTCCAAAAATTATTTTATAAATAATAAAATTAATGAATATTTAATATTTGGAAAAGAAGTTGGCAGAAGAGGCAACACGTAGGTCCATTTTCAGAGTGATGTGGGCGGACAATTCAGTGCGCGGCGTTCTCTTCTCTCGAGCTCTTAATCCGGACCGCAACGTCTCTCGACAGTGCACATTTTTTTGCAAGCCCGGTCGCTACGGCAATATGAGGCCCGCAGGTATAGAGATAGAACCAGGCATACCTTTGACCCTATCACAGTCGTGTCGTCTGACGTCACCGCCTGCTCATGAAATAAGCCTTCCCATCTCGAGAACGGAATTTTCCATTTTTTTATTCATCCTCGACCGAGAGGACGGAGGCGCGCTTAAAACTTTTCCTTTGCGATACACACGGCGGAAGATGCTCAAATTGGAATTTTGTTTGCGCTCACATGGGGCGTACGCTGGTTATTGCCAAAGTCGCAAAGCCACGGGCAAAAAGTGTGCATCTCGATAGTTTTGGAATTTATTGAGATCTTGAACAAGAAATGCAGGATTTTGATTTATTAAGATATTCAGATCATCAATAATTATTTTCCATCTGTTTGTTTTCAGAATCATCAGATTTTACTAATGGAGGCAAATTATTATAAATTTTGTTAATATTTAATTAACAAATAAGTCAATATTTGCTTTGGTCAAATCTATTTGATTAATTAATAAACAGTCAAAATGGATACACAATTTAATTATGTGTCCTGAGCTTGACTGGTTCTTTAATTAATTGCATTATGAGAATACCATATAAAGTCAAAAATAATAAACACGTAAAAAGATATGAGCAGATGATGCATTTTAAAGTTTGTAATTTGTTATACATAATGTGATGTAAGGTGAAAAATATATGAATAAGTTATATAAAGATCAGGCATTATTTTTTAGATTAAAATTTTACAATCGCCGAGTTTTATGAAAATTTTTTTTCATCAAATACATAATTATTATGAAACTAGTTGGATTTAAGAGAAAGTTTAGCATTCAGAATGGCGAGTCCATCAAAAAATATCTCTAAATAGATTGTTTTTCAAATAAAAATAGGTTGTTATTCATACAAAATTAAATGAAAAAATCACTTATTTTCTCCTATTTAACAAATTAACTCCATTTTTACTCAAGAAATGTATCTTTGGGCTTTTTCAGTAAAATTTATTTTGTAATTTCTACATTTCTAAAATATTGGTTAAAAATTATCATCTATTTTTTCCTACCCTTTAGTTAAAACCATGCTACAGATTGTCCTTGTGTTTAACAATTCGTTTGCTCTCCGTGCACGTTTGTGATTCTTAAGTTCTTGCAGCTCGGTCAGATGCATATTCAATTTCGCGGTGAAAATGTGCAATTAATTACCTTGACTGTGGGTGCAGAGCTGAACAAACACTTCATAAATGCAATTTTCGTGGCGGCGGCGGCGAGCAGCGCCTGTTTATTCTTCGCCACCGAGAAAGGCATTTGCATAGTCAAGGCCACGGCGCTGCACATTAAATTAAATTGC